ATCCAGTGATGGAGCTGAACGAGAAGCGCCGCGGCCTAAAATACGAGCTGATCTCAGAGACTGGAGGCAGCCATGACAAGCGCTTTGTCATGGAGGTGGAGATCGATGGGCAGAAGTTCCAAGGAACGGGTTCCAACAAGAAAGTGGCCAAGGCTTACGCTGCCTTGGCTGCTCTGGAGCAGCTCTTCCCTGAGGGCTCTTATCCCGATGCTGCTAAAAAGAAGAAAGGACCACCCATGGTATGAGTAGTTCTGTCTGACTGCAAGAGGTTGTGGGCAGGTGTACATTTAGTTTATGTTTATGTTTAGCACACCGGCTTTGGCATGATGGGAGCAGGAGACGGTGCCACACCCAGAGGAAGAGGAAGGGGGCGTGGAAGAGGACGAGGATATAACAATGGAGGAGGTTATGGACAAGGAGGTAAATTTATGCCTTTTTTACATTTAAATGTTTTTTTGTTTTTTTTTATAAAACATTGTCATTCAGGCTGCATCATTACTGCACAGGAGTAGGGTAGTTCTTCTGTTTTACAACATATCAACATTGTATTATCAAAAGGGACTTCTTGGTGTCTAATATCCTTGTTTGTTCTCTTTTTTAGGTGGGTTTGGAACCTACGGTTACGGGAACAACTCTACCCCTGGATACAGTAAGTCTTCATTCTTTTATTTGTAATCTTGTTGCAGTTGTGAATGTATCTACCTACTCCTATACATGTTTAGGAACAATGCGGTTACATTTAGAAATAATTCCATCTTAACGCCACAGTAGCACAGAGGGAACTTCTTCAGTCATTTTACATTTCTCTGCTTCTCTGCTGAGCCACAGGTCTCTTTTCTACTTTTTGAGAAGCACTTCACAGACTGTTCTGACGCCTGACCTACCTGAGTGTGACAGCAGCAGAGAAATCTAAAACCCTCTCGATTACAAATCTAATCTGACCCTCTGCCAATATGTGGCACAAAATACATTCAGCTCCCACAAAGCTAATGGTGATATTTTCCCTTCTCTGCCCTGTCTCACTCTTTAGGTGACTTTGTCTCAGACTGTGATGGGTTCCACGAGTTTGCAAACTAGAGCTTCCACTCTTAGACATTTTCAAAGAAATTTCACAAGAAACAAAATTTAAGTCCTGACAACGCCATCCTTCAAGTTCTTATCCCTGGAACCGTGACCATCTGCCCTTCCACCCCACCTTTCACGTACTTGGACTCCACCAGAGGAAGTGCATGTTCTGTCTGTGGACACTCTTAAACGACAGGGCTCATCTTATGTCCTTGTTGGACCAGAACATTTTAATGGATTGCCTGGATCAGATGAAGGTCTATGGGACATGATCCAGTGGCCACAATCTCTACACTCAACTGTGTCTGTTTGTGTTTAAGTCTTTTATTTGATTTTAAAATTTCCTCTTGGATTTAAAGCAACTGCTATTTTTATATGAGATCAGAAAAAAATGAGCTGTTTACACCAGAAATTGAATGAGTGTTGCCTTTGTATGATTTTTTTATTTTTTCATTTTATTGTCCTATAGTTTAACTTATTTTGTTTTGAAGAAGCTCTGTTTAGTATTACTGGCTGTACCAATACAGATGCATGCTCAGATCCATTTATGCCACGTGCCTATCTAAACATTCATTTGGTAACAAACTTTGTTATAGAATGCTGAAGCTGGCTTATAAGGCAGAACTGTAAATGACATTTTGTGGCAACTAAAATAATGTTGCTAAACTGATTACAGATAAATTAGACACACATTGTAAATGCTAATGACATAAACATTTGGGTGTTTTTCAAGACAAAGTAGCATTGGGGCACTCTTGAGAATAGACTCCTGGAAATTACAAGGATGGCTTCACTCAATTAATAGTGGTTATATGTATGTATTTTTTTTTTATGTAATAAAGGCCATTGTTACTATTTCTTACTCTTGCTAGTAACTGTCTGTATTTTTTAACTTAAATAGCATGCATTTAGTTCAAAACATTTTGACTTGGATAATAGAAACGGAATCTAAAGGTTTCAAAATGTAAAATGCGTTTCATAAGGACCAAATATATTGACCACATTTTTATTTGTACAATAACTAGGTTCTGACAGCCTGCATTTCTAAACCTCTTACAATAATAGACATTAGAACCAGCTACTGAAATTTGATTATCCAGAATAAAACTTCTGCTATTACTTCTATTATATTGTGTATATTTCAAATATGAATAATGTCCTTCATGTAAATACATTTCCCTCATAAGTGTTGCACTTTTTAATTTTTCTTTTCAGATTACTATAACAATGGTGGAACTAACGGGGGAAATGCCTCTGTGAGCAGTCCCTCAGGCGGACCTCCTCCAAGCTCCTCCCCTGTATCAGCCCAGGGCTCCTACGGCTCCTACTACTCCAATGAGGGAAGCTACACTGCACCTGCTGCTAACAAGGCACAACAGAAGAAGAAGCAGCAGCCGCCTCCTCCCATGCTCAAGGGAGGCAAGGTTCCTTATCAGGGCTCCAACAACAGTAGTGGGTCGTCAGCAGGATACCAGTCCCCTACTCCCTCAAGCCAGGCTTCCTATAACCAGTACAACCAGGGCTATGGGCAGGGAAAGAAGACCTTCAACCAGAGCCAAGGAGGCACAGGCGGGTACTCGTACAGCACTGCTTATCCAAGTCAGGTGACTGGAGGGACACCAAGCAACCAGGACTACAGTTATGAAGGTAAGACAAAAGAGTGAACGACTTGAATCCTAACTGAGACTTTAGTTGCAGCTTACTGTGCCACGATCAGATTTCCTCCTGATTATATTTACCAAGGCAGGACTTGTGAGTGGTTTCCCAGTGTTGAGAATTCTCATGCATGCTTTTGTTTATACCACAGTTGACAATGCAACTCATTAACAAATTGGTCTAACACAGTGGGATGAAGCTAAAATGGGTTGTATAATGTTTGCAGTATCTTCCGGAGGATAAAGAAATTACAGGAAATGTGTATTCCCAGTGACTTTTCTAATCCTTTTATTTTTCCTGCATAGGCTTCAACAGTCAGTCCAGTTACAACTCTCAAGGAGGAGGGAACAACCAGAGCTTCAGCAACAGCCACAGTCAGTACCACAGCCAGTCAAACTACGGCCGAGGAGAGGGGAGCATGAACTACCAGTACAGATAGACTGTTCCTGCAATTGTGTTGCATTAGTGTCTCCTCCAGATACAAGATCATTGGCTCACCTGTGCTCTCTGCCTTTTTCATGTTCGCTTCTTGTGCTTTGGGGTATAAATGTAGCACACATGGGCACACAAGCAGTTGTCTGGACATTTGAGTCTGAGTAGAGTTGTGGTTGAATGTGGTGACCTGTTTTTGTGATCTGGTCAGTGCAAATTGCTGTTTTTAATGTTGTTTTGTTCATTTTTTAATAACTGTTAAACTTCTTTATGTCCTAGCTGGTTTTACTTGCTGACTCAATCAGCTAAACTGTAAAACATGTATTTTATTTTATTTTATTTTTTATAATAATCAATAGAGCTAAAAAGTGTTCATTTACTTTTTTGGTAATGTTATCATTTTAGTTCTGTTTTAGTTATTAACCTGCAGAATACTGGATAATTGTTGCTCAGTAGCTTGGACTGAGTAAGATGTTTCTGTTCTTGTAACAGTGTGACTGTAGTAATAAAACTATTTTATTTTGAAATGATTTTGACTAGAAATTTAAATTTACCACAATTTTCCATACACATCTAAACAAAATATAATCGTCACAACATAGGCTACACATGATCATAATGGTAGTCTGTTTTTTAATCCTGAAGAAATGCTTCTACACATGTATTTGATAATTATGCTCATTCAGTGTACCGACTAGTAGTTGGTTTGCGCTCGCAGACGGACATTACGGTAAAGTGCGTCTATACACCAGTGTTTTCGGCTCCGGTGAGAGCGTCGTCACTTCCGGTTTCTTTGGTCTTTGCATGGTGCTTTGGGGCAGCAGCATGGCAGACGCCGGGGTTGTGGAGACGCTCCTTCGGCTGGTGGAGAGGGCTGACGATGGCGTAGACAGCGTGGAGGCCGCGTCCGGGCTCGGGGTGGACCACCAGGTCGTGGTCGGGGCCGTGAAGAGTCTACAGTCCCTGGGAGACGTGAGTTTACCGAACCGAGCGGCGCCGGAAGTCTGAGTGTCAACTGTGTTCATTTAATGCCCCGGCCGCCCTGACTGATGCAACCAGATGAGAGCCACAGGAATAAGTCCAACTGGTTTAATGTCACATTATTTGAGGATGTAGTTATGCTTTCAAAAAGCCAACTAACGTAAACTCTCACTCTTATTCCGCCCCAACTGTGTTGTGAAATTGCACGTGCAAATAAGACCTTTAATAAGATTTTTTTTTTTTTTTTAGATTCTATAGATTAGAGCCCTGCATTTGGTTCCATATCTGTCCAAAATATTTGCGTCCAAATTTTATGCAAATTAATTAATATTTAGAGGTTGCTAAAGACACTTGAAAATTACTCTACTTGGCCAATACTCTAACATAGCGACCCAAATAAATAAGGCGTATTCGAATAATTTGTTATTTTATTCTGCAAATAGAAACTGAAACTAACAGAAAAAAATACTCAGAAAGTCCATAAAAGTTACTTAGAAAGTCCAGCATCCTCTGTGGCTCTGTTGGCATCACAAAAGATGCGCCTGTGCTCTTTGACGACTTACAGTAGATACCGTTTCTGATCTTCATTCTTTGTTAGGCTACAGATAAAATCTTGATTAAGCTTCACCCCTCTTTTAGCAACATCATTGACAACTTTTGGAATGCACAGTTTTAACAGCCTTTGGAAAGTCTGCATCATCTGCCCAGTCTGCTGGGGAATTTTAAAAAATTAAAAATGTTTTTGGCTGATCAAGAGCTTCAAAGGAATGTGTCGTGCTGGTGGTGACAGAATCACTGATCTGATCTGCTTCCCTTCATAATCTGCTTGATTAAGGGCATCACGTCGCTTTGGTGGAACTTCTGAACCTTACTTTCCATAATATTGTGAACCATCAGTCTCTTCTATTCTTCTGTCACACTGGAGTCAAAGAATGCCAGGCCAACCAATCAAGTACCAAAGATGCTGGGCGAAAGCTGTTAAGGCTGCTTTTTTGACAACTGAATTTTCATAAGTGACAGCTTCTTAAGGAATACCAAATAATTTGCTGGAGCTTCAAAACATCATGCAGAAACTTCATGCAGCTTGAGCAACCTCTAAAACATCTCCTTTTTCTTCCAAATTTCTTCCTAAATCATCTTTTGGATACTAAAACCTAATGCAGGGTTCTAATCAAGGCTATTTGAAACTTTATTTTTTACCATGCTGGATGGACCACCCTACTCTAGAGTCTGTGTTTTCTAATTGGAACAGTTAATTGTTTTTGCTGGACACGTTCAAGTAGCTGCTGTTGCTGGAGTTCACCAGCAGAACATGGGTCACTCCACTGTTCTTAAATTTACTTACTTCTAAATATTCAAGTATATGAATGTATCTGATTGATCAGCTGTGGTCTCAAAAACAATTTGTTTGTGTCTGTATCTGTTTTGTAGATAATTTCAGCAGAACTGCGCTCATCAAAGCACTGGGAGTTGACGGAGGAAGGCAGTGAGATCGCTGAACAAGGCAGCCATGAAGCACGCGTGTTCAGCTCTATCCCACTGGAGGGGCTGGCGCAGAGTGAACTCATGGTATACAAGGATTTCTATACGGTTTCTCACCCTTAAAATAAAAACACAGAAAGTGAAGCAAATATGTTCACATCATTTTATAGAAACTGTCCTTTGGAAAGATTGGCTTCAGCAAGGCCATGTCAAATAAGTGGATCAAGGTGGACAAGGCGCATGAAGGAGGCCCAAGGGTTTTCAGAGCAGTATGTATCTTCCCCTGCTCTGATTTGTAATTGTTCAAGATATCCATAATGCACGTGAATTTGCTTGTAGGTGGACAGTGCGGTGGACCAGGTCAGAGAAAAGTTGCTGCTGGTAAAGAAGGGCACCAGCTCCCAACTAGAAGAAAAGGAAAAGAATGAATTGAAGAAGCGAAAACTGCTTTCAGAAGTGTGAGTAATATTCCAGTTTCTTTGAGGTTATTGATCCCATTACTTTACCAGTAGGTGGCAGTGTCTCTTTTGTTGATGGTACAGATGCTGTAGACTTGTGCTCTCTGTGTGATATTTTACTCGTGATAAGCAACAAGCTCAATAAGCATATATTTTTCTCTCGGTAACATCTGTGTTTAGGACGGTGAAGTCTTACTGGATCACCAAGGGAAACTCCTTCAGCACAACCATCACCAAACAGGAGACCGAGCTGACACCAGAGATGATCGCCTCGTGAGTTATTCTGTTAATTCTAATTAGATCTGTGAAAGTGATAGTAAAAAAACTGTATTGTACCTGTCCAGTCTGCCCTCCTCTGTTCAAGAATAGCAGAATGGAGGGATTCAGACACTGGACACAGAGGAATACTGCCTCTAAAAGGGGATCGGCCCATAGATATGGGCTGTGTCCTAAAGGCTGGGCAGCACAACAATACTCTGAAAAATGTGCAAATCCAATATCATTAAAAATGTCTATAAATATCGCTTGGATTGTGCTTCTGCCGCTAAAATGTTGAGGATAAGTCTGTTACCGTCTCTGAATCACATTAATGAGGGATTTGGCTGAAAACAATATCCCGCTAGTCCCCCATATGCAACAGGCTTACTCACAATACAAATGCTGATCAAAAATACAAAAATTGTAATCATGATTAATGGCATGTTATACACAAAACCAATTAATGAATTCATTAGTAGCATATAGTGCACTTTTATTGGAAACGTAAACTAAAGTGCTATACATCTGTTATGCAAACAGCATTTCTTTATACAATAGCTGGGCACTAAAGTCCACGGTCTCTAAAGTCCATGTTTATACTTCTTCCTTTGGAGAATCTCACTCATAAAAAGAACCAATTTCAATTCCTAGAATGTGACTTAATGAATTGAATTCAAAAGAAAACTGCATGTGATCAGCAGCAGTAAAATAAAGTTTTCACTGTGTAAATCTCAACTGAAAAAATCTAATCAAACCAAATACAAAACTGAAATATATTGCCACTGCCAGGGCATTCATGTTATCCTATCTGATATAAAAATGAGAATCTCAGTCCAAAACAGTAACCAGAACACTGTACACATAACCAGAAGAACACTTTCAGTGCAGTTTGTCAATTCCAAGAACTTTGTTTTTTTCCTTTACTTTTCAGAACAAAGCAAGTTGCTAAGGCATGCAGGTTTATTATTATTATTATTATTATTAAGAATGCAATTGCTGACACCAACTTCTCGCGGAAGAAAAGTGAGAGTTGCGACGAAGAGCAATTGCACCACGCGGTGGTGCCTCTGAACACTTGTGCGTAATGTGCATGTATGGAGCAGAGTGTTTTGGTTTAGGTGATATTTCGGACTCATCGGTGATAAGACAATTCAGCGTTGCAGTGTTACAAATGACTTTGGCTGTGTTGACTGCGCTGTCTGAAGAACTGAAAATGAAAATGGCCATGTAAAAGTTCCTTACCCCTTGTTTGTTTATCCCGCTTTCTTTCTCTCTGTTTTCTCTGAGCGCCGTGGCAGCTACATTCTAGGTTCACTCATAATGGACTTTTTCAAAATAAAAGCCAGTGAGCAACAGACATTTACAGTAAAAAAAAATAAATAAATAAAAACTGCGTTAAGGAAAAAAAAAAATTGTCGGCAATAATGAATTCATTAGTTAACACAAAATTTACGCATTAACGTGCCCGGCCCTAATTTAAAGAGAATTTGTGACCTGGTGTACACGTTATAGGATCATCATTTGGAGAGCTTATGGTTTGTGGTGGATTGGGTACTTTATTCTTAACAGGTTGAAACAGACTGGGTAGTAGAACATCTTTGGCAATCCTTCTGATGATGTGTGCGTGTTTGCAGAGGAAGCTGGAAAGAAAAGAAATTTAAGCCATACAATTTTGAAGCCATGGGGGTCGCTCCAGACAGTGGCCACCTACACCCGCTCTTGAAGGTGCGCACGCAGTTTAGGCAGATCTTTCTGGAGATGGGGTGAGTACAAATGGAAGATTTTGACTTATTCTATACACAAATAACCTTTTACAAATGTATATTAAGTTTGGTGTGTTGATCATTCTCAGCTTCTCAGAGATGCCCACCAATAACTTCATCGAGAGCTCTTTTTGGAACTTTGACTCTCTGTTCCAGCCCCAACAGCACCCGGCCCGAGACCAGCATGACACCTTCTTCCTGTCTGGTGAGAATTACTGTATAGTTACATTAACTATTATGAGCTTTAAATCACACTATTTTCATCTCACAAAGAAAAGTTTTATTTTTTGTAAGTTATAAGTAATTACGAAATGTCCAACTTCTTAAGAAAATGTCCACTCACAGCTCTACCCCAGGCTCTTACTCCCCTCTTTTGTCAGGGAATCTATTGTGCAATTTCTGTGCATTTACTTGGTCAACTAAAGACATGCTCTGTGCGTGCATTTACCTTTCACCAGTGATAATTAATTTACTACAGCTCTATCATAAACATTATATTTAAACAAGAAACTATGAAATATTGGTGCACGGGGATCCAAGGTTCTCAAAAGACCCAAAAAAAGCATTTCATGGGGGATTTACTATGGC